CTTTTGCATTATTGTTAATTTTTATTGAAATATTTATGTACATGGGGCTTGCTTGCCAAGACAAAATCAGCATCAATGACCAAAAAAAGAAAATTGACTTTTTAATATATTCATATTTTCCACAAATTGTAAGTTTTAAAACCATAGGTCCATTTACTGACTTACTATTGCCAAAGTTATGAGTGAAATTATGGCTTCTCTGTGTACTAAAGTATACAATACTGCCACATTCCTATGCTTATTACTCAGTTTAACGTTCAGCGACAGTATTTGTTGTGGTTTGGGGCAGAAGGAACAGTGTGGTTTCCCAGCCTCGAGGTTGGAGTTTCGACCCCTCGCTCTGTATTTTGCATGTGTCCTTGAGCAAGGCATTTTATCTAAATTGCTTCTCTCTACCCAGGAGTTAAGAGGTTTGAGAATTTCCCCGGCATAGGTATCATTCCAATGACTGGGGGTAATAATGTGGAAAAGCACTCTGAGACTTACAGTAGTTGTGTAGAACGCTATATAAAAGCCTAAGTATTAGGCCAAATAAAAAAAATTTTCTTGTCCTCTCGCGCATCCATTTTCTCTGCCTCGAAATGTACGAAAATCTGGCTAACTCACATCAGTAAAATTCCTCTCTCGATCGATGGTTGGGGATACATATGGTATGAATCATGTCTAGTGCTTCTTCTATTTGCTTTCGGGATTAATGGGTCTACTTGGTAATAGTGAGAAAGTAGTAAGTTTGTTTTCTATCGACCTTCTTGGGTTCGCCATCTCGAAGTAACAGAAAAAAGTGCCCTTATTTTCCTTTTTTCAAAATATTAGAATGAGAAACTATTTTCTTTTTACTTGGCCTTATTATTATTATTATTATTATTATTATTATTATTATTATTATCAAAATACAGATATTAGTTCATACTTTTAGATGTTTTCTGTAGTTCTTATAAATTACAGCCAAAAAGATGCTCATCAAGATGTAGATACAGATGATGATGTAAGCAATGAATATGAGTACGTTCCAAGCATTTTTGTCGTAGGCTGGCATCCTAAAAAAATGAGAACAAACACAGGTCGTTACAGTCTCTGGGGGAGGGGAGATGATGGCAAATGTGAAGAGGCGTGATGATACTTTTTAATTGTCAGAACTGTACATTATTTGTATGTGAAAGGTGACTCATGGTAGCCTACTTTGTCAGCTTCTAATACAACAAGATTTATATAATTCTACTGTTGCGAAACCAATAGTTGATATTTTAATGAATTTTACAGGACCTTCTACATTAATTAAATACAGGTCCCGCTCCAATTAAAGACCACTTTAGTGACCTGGACTTTCATAGTCTTCAGCAACATTGGTCTATAATTTGGAAAAATATTATTATAAAGATAAATAATAGATATTCATTTGGGCTACAGAAAACTGGTCTTTAATTGGAAATGGTCTATAATTGGACGTATTTAATTGGAGGCAGACCAGTATATATAAAAAAAGAAGACATAACATATTTACTTGTAATTTACCAGGAAAACACAGATTAATGAATTGGGATGTTCACTACAAAATATTTCAGAAAAATAGGCACAAATATAGGAGCTGTCTATCACATACAAATATAATAAAACAAGAGTGTAAGGTAGCACAACAGCAGGATACATTATCAATGGACCTTTCTGTAGGGTTAACTGGTCAAACAACTGACCAATCAGAACATGTTATTCAATATGCAGGTCCAGGATGACATGCACATTTCACAAATGCACAAGTGGGCGAGACTTTTTTTATACCTTGTTTAGTGAACCTGCCACACACCAATAATGATGATTTCAAATAAATATAAAATTTTATTTTTGGCCGATTAGCGCTCCCGCTGCCAAGAAAAGATGAAAATTTCTGAAAAAAAATAAAGGTTTTTTTTTTTTTATTATGCCCGCCACTGCCTTGAAATCTCCAAAAATAAGGTATGTATATTTCTTCCTAATTATATAAATTTAGAACATTTAACCATCCCATTACTACACTGGTTACATTCACCAATAAAATGTTATATGTATATTCTCCTCCGTCTTTCTGTTTTTGGCAAAACTATTTGCTACATAAAAAAACCAAATTTTATCTTTATTTTTTTTCTTCTGATGACCTTTAAGAAAATAAGTTCACAAAACAGTGTATAAAAAATGTCTAGCCTTACAACTGTACATCTGTCTCTTATACACATCTAGATGTGTATAAGAGACAGATAATAGCTTTATTGCCAAAGATAATCACAAATGTCCGAAGACTTATTTCCAGTGGGGTCTTGCATTCATTTAACATGCATATGGGCCATGAAGCATTCAGGACCAACAGCTTAAACATCTTGGATCCCACACACGGTGCACTATTGAAACTTGCATTTTTGGCCTCCAGTTAGCTGAAACACAAGGACAGCGATGGGAGCTGAATTGGGGACCAAAAGATACGACTGAAATAAGCTGCTCTTCATGCCTAGGCTTCAGTCCACATATTCACAGCTAACAACCACAAACATTGTAAAGAATGTTAATAATGATATCAATAATAAAATTACTGAGACTTACTCATCCTTAAAGAGCTCCCGCAAGAGTAATGCAAACAGACCAATCACAATAAAGAGCAAGATTAGCATGTAAAATATCTCTGGCAAGGTACGGCGTATGTTGCGAAAACTACGACGAAGCTATACAAATACAATACACATGTACCGAGCTTAGCAAAATTTAGCAAAAAATTTTTAAAAACTGAAACAAATATCTCTGGTTTCTAACAACCAGGATGTAGATGCTTCTTTAGAAACTTTCATGTTAGAGAGAGGGCGCTATTACAATTAGCCAAAATTATCTAATATCATCATTGCTCCAACTAAATATTTCATAATATAGATATTCCCTTTAAGACTTATAATGTATTAAAATATGCAAACACTGTAAGTATATAAATAACTTGGGAAAAAAAATACAATGAATTATATCAATTGAAAGTTTGAGGGTTAGCATTTAAAGACCATTTTTTTGGGACCGATGTTTCCATGGTCTCTAGCAGCTTTGGTCTCTAAACAGAATAATAAAAATAAAAGACATTTGTTAATTTGGGAACAGAAAAATGGTCTTTGATTGGAAATGGCCTTCAATTGGAGGGGTCTTTAATTAGAGGAAAACCTGTACTTAATTCCAGTTATTTAAAGTCCAAACCTGTCTCATCTCAGAGAAATTGACCAGAAAGAGTGGCCGAAGACATCTTGACCATCGGACAACAGTACAGCTATTACAAGCCTCTTTCAAAATGATGTATAGAACGATATCTATGCATGTTAACTAAAGAGAAAATATGAAAAAGTTAATAATAATAATTTATTTTTTTTATACTTATTTATTTATTTATACTTATGTTATTTAATTACTTACATACATGTATTTATTCATGTTACCTATTTTGTTATTTATCCATGCTGTATGCAAAATATTATTTTTAGATTTTATAGTCATTCAATCATTCATTTATGTTTTATATATTCATTCCTATATTTATTCATATATTTATTTATTCATTCATTCCTTCATTCATGTGTTTATATGTTTGTAATTCATTCATTCATTCATTTTTTAATCTATCTATCCATTCATTTTCATATCCATTCACTCTTGTGTTTATATGGTTGTCATGCGTTCATTCAGATATTATTAAATTCTTCATTCATTCATCCATCCATCCAATTCATTCATTTATTAATCCATTCATTCATTCATATATTAATTCATTCATTTGTTAAATGTTTGTGATTCATTCATTCATTAATCTATCCATTCATTCATATATTTAATACTCATGTGTTCATATGTTATTCATTCATTCATCTATCCAATTCATCCAATCTTATAATTATCAATTTACCAGTTTTAACATTACAAAAATTTCATTCAGTGTGTAGGAAAAGGATACTCTTTTGTTGTTAGTGAAGTTCAATATCCACCACACAAACAAGTTTACAAGCCTATGTTATAAATTTAATGGTACTGGTCTTATATTGAAAAAAAAAAAAAATCAGTGGAAACAAAAGAATACTTATACACAAACACAAAATCAAGCATAAAGAGCTAACTTACCAGTATAATACTAACAGTTATTAGATGCTTTGGATCTGTCCACCAGAGAAGCCCTGAAGAAAACCTTTTTGAGTGAACAAGACGAAACGTGAAATATCCCAAGCACAGCAACTCCATAAGTATGGTGGCCTGCAAACATAAAATGGATTTGCATAATAATAAGTTATTGTCTATTCCATTTCGATATTATAAATTACCATTCACATTGCAGTACCCACTGCTTACTTGGACTCAAATTCAAACCCTGGCCTTCAGACGCAAGCTCGGTGGTCTAGAGGTATGATGTGAGGCTAGCAATCTGGAGATCGTGGGTTTGAGTTCCACCCGAGAACAACTTGCGTTTTTTTGCAAGTGTCTTCACACGCACAGAGTACTCACTACATTTTTATGTCTGGTTTGGCAAAATTACACCTATACTTAATAAGAACCTTATTAAAGTGAGAGGTAAAAATGCCTATCCCACCACACTACAACCAATTCCAGCTTTTATCTTGCTCAGTGATGGCACCAGTGGGGGAGGGGGTCAGGGCTTTTCCCCGTTGGACAAGCCTGGACCCCGTCACCTGACGTGGCCGTCGGACCAAAAATATTAACATGCCTATCCAAATAGCATTACTGGATTTGGATTTGAAATCCCTAATATTGTGGTCTAAAAGCACAATGTGGGCCAAACTAAGCCATATAAGTCTCCTCTATGCCTGTTTTAAATCTTTGACCCTATGACCGAGGCTCTTTGTCTAAATACTCCATTAGGCAAGACCTTTTTATACCTTGTTTCGCGAAATACAAAGAAAATTTTGTTTTCTTATTTAGCAAATGGTTTTGCCAAAACATCAAGATGGACGAGAAAATAAAAATACAATTTTATTGGTGAATGTAAACAGTGTAGTAATATAAATGGTTAAATGCTTTAAATTTATATAATTAGGAAGAAACATACATAAGTTATTTTTTTAGATTTCAAGGCAGCAGTGGGCATAATAAAAATAAAGATATTATATTGGCCAAAAATAAATTTTTTAATTTCATTCCAGGCAAACTTAGATTATTAACGGCCGGTTCCTCAAAAAGGGCCAAAGACAAATTTAAAAACAGGAAAAAATAAAGAGCATATGTCAAGAAGGCTGTGTTGTATAATGCATAATATCTGAAAGAAAAATACAACATATTAAAACAAGGAATGATGGTTCTACCTCCCCAAAATTCATTAACAAAAATAATCATAAAAAAAATATGAAATGATATAATAGTAAAATATGTTCCTGGAAGCTAATGACAATGAATACAAAACATAAAATATATAATATATATTACATATATTATATATATTTTATAATATATAATATATTACATATATTATATATTATAAAATATATAATATATGTATAAAAAAATATTGATATTACAATTTTTCAATAAAATAATATAGAAAATAAAAGGCATATATTTTAGAGCCTATTATTATATTTTAAAATAAAAATGATAATAATCATATTAATAATATAATGACATTAACAAATATTTCATTAATAATAAATAAATAATGATGATGATTTTCACTGTCCTATTTAAAATGTGTCAATCCCATTTACAAGACAAAACAAGGCCTATGCACAAGTTGTTCTATATAAGTTAAATATCATTATAAGGCTTAGGGAGTGGAATTGCTTTTGTTCATGAAAAAACATATCCTGTCACTGATAGAATTTTAACCCAGAACCCTGTAAAATAGAAAGCAAGCACCCTAAACACTAATATAAGCCCCATTCTATTAGTAAATTACATTAAATTCGAGGTTATTGCTCTCCGAAATTTTGCAATGTTTACAATGAATCCAAATACACTATTATACTGTAAAACCTCGAATAGAAACCCTGAGCTTCTTTTTTTTTTGCAAACTTTGGATGGGACTTCTTTTCGAGATTTTTTTTCGGGGCTACTTTTGCAAAGAAAAGAGAGGGGGGCTTTTCAAATAAATGCTGTAAATTTTGGGGATTAATATGAAACAATAAATAGGGTCTCTGTACCATCAGTCTGTATCATGGAGTGTATTAACCAGTAATTAATCACCTAACTGACTGAATAAAACCACCTAAATTACTGAATAAAACCAAGTGTGTTTTTAATTTATTTTGTTTCTTCTTTGTGTTCTTTTCTTATTGTACAGTTTATGTACTGTACTATTTCACAAAGTAGCCCATGCTATCTTGAATAGAAGCCCATGGGCTTTTTTTCGATCCTACTTTTACAAACTAAAGAGGGGGCTTCAATTCTAGATGGGCTTCTTCTCCCATCTCCCATCGGGCTTCTATTCGAGGTTTTACGTTGTAACATAATTACTGTATAGAGAAAGAGCTTTCCCTTGAGGATACCTTCTGTTGTAAGGGTACATACAAAAAATTATTAGATCATCACTCTTTTTTTTTTTTTAAATTGATGAGGGAGGGCATTTTTTTTTTTTTTAATCGGTGCAATAAATTAATTCGCTTTAATTTTTATCGATGAAGGAGGTACTGTTTATAATTGGCCTGTACTCGGGCCTGTAATAGTAAATATTGTATAAAAAGTGGCTTACCGTAATTTTATAGTTTTTTTAAAGAAAATATATTTGAAGTCACAAAATTGCATTGTTATTTTATGCTGTTAAAATAATTGATGCGGCAAACCAATTTTTTTTTTTATTCCAGCATCAATATTTCCCGAATTTCTGATGCGGGCGGGAGTGATAATCTAATATATTTTTCTATTTGCCCTAAATAATAATAAAACCAGCAAACAATTAAATGTACGAATAATTTCAAAATATCAAAAGCTTAAATATAAATCTAATGACAATGCCCCTTCTGTAAAGGATATTGATAATAAAGACTAATATTTTTTCTTACTTTAAATACTCCTGCTCAACTTTATGTTTATAGCTGCGGGCATATCTTGCATCATTAATGTATGTTGAGGCTAGGTAAAGCTCCTTAATTACAAAATACAAACAAAAAAAAAACATTTCAAAGAATAGACACCACTCCATACAGTAGTACAAGAAATGATGATAATTAATATTTTTTTAGCAAGTACATTACATTCAACAAGTGACTTTGAAGGGATAAAAACATTTTACCTGAAGTGAATGTCAAATAATATTGTTTATTTCTGCTTTTGTCAGTTAAGTGTTATATTTGCAAAATTTTTGTCAGATTTTTGAAATAATTAACTTCAAAAATAAGTGATTGTAGTTAAGTCCACCAACCTCTATAAATTCTGCCCCAACCACCGAAACTGACTAATTTAAACCATACACAGTACATGTGTCAATCATAATTTTTAAAAAAGTCTGAGACATACTTACTGTGTAATTTATCGTTGAATCTGGCCCCCTCTTACAAGGGTCGACAGGTTGGTTCGCAAGATCTAATTCAATATGCTCTATGGTTTTCTTGAAGCTGACGGATCTTGGGCGGGTGATTGGTAGAGGGGCATCAACCAGCTCGGAAAAACTTACGGATCTTTTGTGATGTTCTTTTGCGGCCATTTTTATCCTTAGGAGAGCAGAAAAATCTTTAATTTACTTTAAAATCAGTAACACAAAATACAAAAAAAGTTTATATTTAATAAAAGATGTCACACAAAAATTTTGAATAAAAAAACAAATAAGCCCTTCTTATAGAATCTATAAAATTGAGCATCAAGTTAAACATTATGATACCATAATTAGAAGAGAAAACATTTAAAAATATTTTATAATATTTGATTTAATAACTAACTTTTAATTATTTTAAGGCAAGATTTTTTATATTTCATGTTTTGCAATTAATTAAGATTGTCAGCGGCAGGTGGGAAAAAAAAAAGATGTTTCTCTCTTGTTTAGGTTATTATACTTGGTGTGATTCACACTAAAATACTTATACTTATACGTATTTGGCCAAAAATAAAATTTTGTTTTTAATTTAAATATTAATATTGGAGGGCGGCAGGTTCGCGAAACAAGATATAAAAAAGTCCTAATGTATTTTTGCAAATTTGAAAATTAAGTATAATCAAGGGTTTTCTATGAATAAATTTAATTTCAATTCAACTTTTATTTTGGAAGAGTTTCCTTCCATAGACAACAATCACAAGAAAAACAAGGCCCATCACCAAACAGTATATACAAACAATATAAATAACATGGACCTGAAAGAAGTAAATTAATTAAAAATTAAATAAAACCTTAAATAAACCAAACTGGCTCCTCCCTTTTTTTGCATGATCCCTACTATCTGTGGATTGATGGGACATTTATACAACCTTAGGCCTGGGTCAGCCTGGGAGAGAGGTAAATGGGGTCGAGTAAATTACAGGGTATCTCTATAAAGCATTTGTCAATGAATATTCATGTTTTAAGCTTATCATCACATTACGCTAGCTTATTGGTTGTTTGTACTACCAAATACAACCTTTGTTAGTGGCGGCGTTGTAGTGGGGCAACATGACCCATCGGTGAACGCTGTACCCACCATTACTGTTTACACAACCATCACGGGTGAATATGGGCCCCGTTCGGGGACACTGTATTTTCTGCTCCCCGTCGGAAACACTTGGTGGCCGCCACTGATCCATAGGGTTGACCTGTAAAAAAAAGATAAACCAAATGGGGCTCGATGCCCTTTGGTGGTAGGTCAATAACCATTATTTAGCCTAACTAGATTTAATCATTTCAAACACATACCTAGGTAGTAAGCTTCCTGACAACTGTGATAATGATATCCCGGAGCCAGAGCTAATTTAGCTCCGTGGAAGATACGTGCCAACCCCAACACCAACTCCAAATACTTCAATTCTTAAAAGTTGTCAGTAAATTTATTAGGCCTATCCTAGGCCCACAACATCGGTAAGCATGGAGATAATGGTGCTGAGCTACCTTCCACATACGGTGTTTGCTGTAGATAGCCCTAATAATAAAGGTCCCAATATACTTGTAAACTTCGTTTATTAGTTGTTATCTAATCTACGTTGGCTGAACTTAACCGTGTCAGGTGACTACTCAAAGCGTATTTGAATATCAGGTAGGCCTATGCGCATGTCTGTTTTCTTAATATGGTCATGTTTGATAAAGTAAGCCTATTGTCAATCTGTGTTATTGAACTTTGCTGCGTGAAAAAAAAAATAATTGTTTGTTTTTACTATTTTTGAAAATGAATGTGGTAAATATTTTCATCTGAAGCGTGTAGGCCGATATGTCGCACTTTCAGTGGCATAACAATACACAGTCTTGGGGGAGGGGGGCGCACTGGGCTGAAATGGGTCAGAGCCATATAAAGAGTTGCGACATTCCGCTCCTTGGTTGCGAAAGTCACGTGGTACACCTTTCACTTTGTGTCATAATCTTCTCGATGAACACATGCAAAGTATATGAGTTACGTACATTGCATATTAATTTCACACACTTAATTGGGTTTACAATTATATTTTATAATTAACATCACTTAGTATGGACTGCATTATTACACTGTTTACGTTCATCATTAAAATTTTATTTTTATTTTCTCATTCGCCTAGATGCGTTCGGAAAAATATTTAAGCTAAATAAGAAAAAAATTTAATTTTTTTCCCGACCTTTTCTGACGATCTTTAATGGTTGGTTGAAACAATATTAGAAAATGGTTCTTAATTTCAAATCTTTGTACAGCCTGTATAAATTCGAATGACAATGAAAATAGTGATGTTTAATAATCTTAAAAATGATTTGCTGTTTCTATTGCATACTATTATATAATTATTATAACTTTATTTTGGAAACGACGCTTTTAAAACAGCGGACACGCTCTCGCAGTATGTTTATAAAAGTAACATACTGTACAGCCATAATACAATATTAAAATAGAGGCGAGACATTTAATACAATAAAATGTACGTTACATAATTATACAAGTTGAATATATCACAGATCCTGTATATCATTTAACACTTACAATTTATAACATTTACAGATAAGCACAGTTTATATATTGCGGCCAACTGACCTATACTATTTTAATATTTATAAATAATAATAATCAAATTAATAACATAAGATTTGTATAGGGCTCGCTCATATTCAAATTTAAAGAGCAACAATCTATATACGGTACGCTAGACGGATTTAAATTACATTTTGATATACGTATTTAATTAATTTTTGCTGGTCGTCACATATCATTTATTTGCAAAAATAATAGGAGCTACTCAAGGATTGCCTAATTAAAGAATGCTTGCCATCGAGGAGCTCCCTCGGTCTATCGGCGAGGATTAAAGAACTGCTTAAAAATAGTAAATTATTACAGTATTATTTTATAATATGAAATTTGATATAAAGTAGTGAAATCATAAAAAAAACCTATAAATAGTTACATGAAATTCGATTAAAAGATTAAATGAAATTAAATTGTACAGGAGGCCGCTAACTGTATTATACAATATTATACACAGGAACGCACATCACGTTAGACACAGAACGCGCATGGCGTATGACACAAAATGGCTTCTAAATTCTCAATGTCGCAACTCTTTCTATCTATGGCTCTGAAATGGGTCAGAGCCATATAAAGAGTTTGCGAAAGTCACGTGGTACACCTTTCACTTTGTGTCATAATCTTCTCGATGAACACATGCAAAGTATATGAGTTACGTACATTGCATATTAATTTCACACACTTAATTGGGTTTACAATTATATTTTATAATTAACATCACTTAGTATTATGGACAGCGTATTAGAATTCATATATAATCGAATATTTGCGCGCGTGCGTGCTCGCGTAAATTATTGAAATGAATTAGATTTTCTTTCAATTTAATTTCATCATTACGCCAAATACCGGTATACATTCTTAACAATTCATCTGCGGAATTTGGATGATGATGCTTTATAAAATATCCCCATGAATTTATTACCTCTCAGGCTTGCCAAAATACATTTTTTATATTATTTCTTATTTTTGATAGATGTGCCTGATCTGTTTATTACGATGGCCCACAAGAAGAAATGATGCAAACAAAAAACAAACGCTGTAAACAAAAAAACAAACGCTGCAAACAAATAAGAAACGCTGCAAACAAAAAAAGAAATGCTGCAAACAAAACGCTGCAAACAAAAATTTTAAAAAAAGACCAGCAAACAAAAGAGAAAACGCTGCAAACAAAAAAGGAAACGCTGCAAATAAATAATGAATGCCATGCGGGCGCATTTAATATTAATGACGACAGAGAGAAGTCAGACGTACATCAGTGGACGGAGTAAAAGCCACGATTTGCTCTAACTGTCGAACAAAAATTTCAGAATCTGAAAATTTTGCCATTCTTGCGGTGAATCTTCATCTGCTAATTTAATGATTCATCTTCTTATAATACACGAAAACGGCGATTTCCAAATGAAAGTCTCGGTTCATCAAATAGGCATAAGCTTGCTGGTCTCTTATTTGAGGCTTTCTGAGATATGAAAGAAAAGGAAAGAAGCACTAGATTCAACAAGAAAACCGTGTCAACGAAAATAGAGAAAGATTTCCGAGGTCACCATACAGATCGGTCTTTTAAAGCTTCGTGACGGTGTGCTGAAAAATGTCGGGGATCATCCCTTCCTTTGGAAGTAAATCCTTCAATAGAAATGGAGGAACTCTTAAAGCCCCATTCCCGGCAAAATTTCAATTTTTTAAAAAAATCTAATTTTTGTATAATGTTATAAAGATTTATAAATATAATACGGAATTGCTAGTTTAACTGAATTTAGACATTCCTAAGAATGA